TTTGCAATTCACACACTCTGCCAGCTTTGGTTGCTGCACCTGTATGCTTAGCTCAAAGGTGGAAGCTCAGACTATCAATTCATAGAGGCATTTAAATACTTTGTGACACAAAATGAATTGTTATTTCGACTTGTCAAATAAGCCATCTGACATTAAACCCCCAGAACTAATACATTTGCCAAAAGAAATGGAAAATATAAATCATTAAAAGTGTAAGGTAGCTGAAGCAGGTAATCAGCAAATTATGGGGTAACATTGTTTCCTCCATTATGCATATCTCAAGATAAAACAGTGGCACCTTTTGACGCCTTTCAGGACTTAAGGGGATGTAAATTTTTGATCAGTCCAATAAAGAAAAGAAGAAGTGCAAACAATAAGCATATCTAACTGAATCCCTTCAGTATTTGCTTTATTTACAGGCCCATTCCGGTAACAATGAATATGATGAAAGTCATTGGGCCCTTGACCAAGATACCTAAACTTTCATAATTTGAATAAATTCTGTTGTTGTCAAAATTTTGATTACTAAATTATAGGAGGGAAAATGACCTAACCCATTTTAAACACACAATAAATACATGAATGTGTGTGTGTGTGCGTGCGTGCGTGCGTGTGTGTGTCATGAGTTGTCTTTGTTTGTGACTTAAAGATTAAACTTTCATTGCAGAATCAGAACGACTGAGACAGCAAAGGACAACAAATTGCAAAAAAAGAACAAACAAGATGTCATGAAGGAAATTGCTTATTGGTGCAGATGAAAGTAAATTGCACTCAAATCGTGTAAAGCATGAGCATGGACTCTTCCCAGCACAAGTACGATCGATGGATGTGCTGAATTTGTTACGCATGCAGGGCCGTCTGACGCAGCCACCTCAGAGCTGATAAACTAGTTCCGCCTGCCATTTTTTATCCCTCTCTCCCCACCCAACACCTCCCCTGTGAATAATGACTGCAGCTGTGCCAATTTGGCTGCTGGCTGTGTGTTCACTTTTTTTGTGTGTGTTTTATTTTGATGGCTTTTACAGTCAGTGCGCGTGTGTGTGTCTGTCTGATTATGGTGTACAGATAGGCCATTACCCATGCGTTAGGAGGAGAGGGGCTTAATGGACCACAGAGGATGCAGGGGCAGGGTGGCTCATGCACACCGCACTCTCCTCACAGCTCTATCAATACTGCCATCTGGGAGTTTGGCCACTTCATTCACAAAACCAATACCCCAGTGGGATGAGATGGGCCCACTCAGACGCTGGTGCTACGTGTTGAATAAAATGAAAGGATCCTGAGGCTATCATGACATCCACTTCCACAGGGTATCAATTTATCCCCTCTTTTCATGAATGAGTGATGAACAATGGTGTGAAAATGACAAATACTTTCAAATACAACAGCCACCTTGCCTAAATCTGGAGAGCACTTATTCCAGACCATAAGTCAGTCAACTCAATGTACACTTTTCTCTGTAAGATAAAAATATTGATCAGAGCTTTAAACACCTGATGCTTTCTTGATCAGTCTAAACTGTATGTTAACACTGAGCAATCAATGTAGGGAAATTGACTTATCAGTGGTTCACAAAGAAAAAACAATATATTTCATTTTTCAACCCACTAATTTCAATTCATGGTCACAGAGCTGTACAAGCATGATCGTGTCATACCACGTAAACACCGTCAATCATTTCTTTACCTAGAGTGAGTGGTGTAAGACAAAGAAGACATAAAAGATGATGAACAAGAAAAACCAGCAGAAAAAAAACACAAGCACCGGGGTGAGGCAGACGTTTATAGCAAAGAAGACAAACATGTTTTACAGAGATTGAAGTTGGAACATATTATTTGAAGGACAAGACAGCTTACATAAATGATGTTTAAACAATGAGTATGAACTCGAGTGTGATTGCTTCGTTGAAAAGACAAATGAGAAGAAAAGAGAGAAAAGAGGATACAGTGAGAAGAGACACTGTGCGCTCTACTGAGTGACAGATGACATGCTTTTGACCTGTGCAGGTTCAGGTCAGGGAGGAGGCACATTCATCTCTGGGCAATATTTACGATTACATCAGTAAGGCATTGGAGTCATGCAAGTTGGGATCTCTATTGAGATGTTTGATGTCCTTCCTCCAACATCCAACAACCAAGACAAAAGAAATATTCTTTGACATTCACTCCAAAATGCTTATACAACCATTAACAGGCATGATTTTAAAAGAGGATACAGTGCCAGCTGTTAGACAATCTGACAGAGAGCAAGCTGGAGCTACAACACTCAATCTTGTATCCGATTTACATGCTAGGTGGACATTGTGTTATAACCTAATAATGTGAGTACACACACAGCTGGGTATGGCTCTTTGACAACACAAGTGAAGGAGATGCACCAGAGCACGTAACATTCGGAAAGCCAGGTGTGTGCATCTGCCCACTCAGAGGGGGGATGGTACAATAGTCTGAGGGGGCAGGTGTAAATCTGAGAGTCTAGGACTTGCAGACAGGCTTGGGCTAAAGATTTAAAGTACAGCTTTGAGAGACAGGTGTAGGTGTTACTGTTGTCATAACAGCATCGCAGTCCAAAGAAGGTCACAAAACGGTCCAATACTTCAAATGACTGAATTTAGGTATTCTTTATAAAGGGGCCACAGTGATTGATAGAACTTGGGTGTATAGTCAGTCACCTGACAATGCTGCATTTCCAAAATTAGCCATTACTGTATACTTTTTTCATGATCTCTCTAAATGCTACACAATCACATTCGATTTCTTCTTCTGTGGGTATAAATCCTGCTGGTAAATGTCACGCTGTGACAAGCACAAAGCCTGCTCACCACAATCGGGCCCTGAGGGATTCCGGTGCTGTCACATCCTCTCAAGTGTGCAGACTACGCAGTAGTTGATAGCAAACAGAAAGAAGGGCAGATATCAGAGTTTTCTTTCTTTTTTTTTTTTGTTACCCCTGTTACTCAATGAGAATTTTTGACCAAAAAAATGCATTCAAAACTGGAATAGAATCATTATGATGGATCAGTGGAACTCTGCAAGTTATTGCAACTTTTTTACACTTGTTTAACCAACCTAAAATCAACATCTATATAGCAAAACATAAGAAGTGAAAAAGCGGTGGAAGATATCATTTAAAAAAAAAAAACCAAGTATGTCAGGAAACGACTCGAAGCTGTTACCAGTTCCTACTGTGATACCACATATCACATATCACATATCTACACACATATGTAAAGTTTTCTTAAGTGACATTTCTAAATTAAATAAAAATCAACACTGTGGTACTCAGTTTGGCTATTTGTCTTTCACCCCCACATTGTTCAAAAACAGATTTTTCCTGGAAACTCACCATTGTGAATTTGCACATGTCATTGCTATTTAAGTCGGACAGTATCTTACAGCTATGATGTAGAAGAACATATGGCAAGATAACAGCCCCTTGCAGTGTACAGACACCCCAGTAGGTCACTGTCACCTATGAAGCATGGGCATGTGAAGCCCTCTTGTGGTCCAAACAAAAAATGTAAGACCCCAATGGTTCTCGACAATGTGCCTGAATAGATGTTGCTAAACCAAATAAGAACTCTGAGGTTCCCTGATCATGTAAATTCATTTTCATTATTATGAATCACAAACCTTTTTTGCTTCACAATTTCAATACAGGCCACACAATTTTTTCAACACTGAAGAATTTGATTCAGTTTATTAATCAAGCTGCTGCTAATTTGGCACTTTCTGGATTGGGCGAGTTTGCGCAGGGTGTGACCCAACTTTTTAAAAGGGGTGGCCCAGCTTGGACGCTAAATGCAGGTGTGGCATGAAGTATGTGCACACACACATGTATGAATAGCATGACTCATCATCTCTATTTGAACTGCTGACATGAGAGTAAAGTAAAAAGTTTTTATACTGTGTATTATTATATTATTTTGAAAAGATGTAAGTCAAACTTCCCACTTGTGAGTTTCAATAGCAGGGCATGTGTTTCATTTAAACACAACGAAAGCTGCTATGAACCAGTTCCAGCCCTGCCAAAATAGTTGAATTTAACTACAGTCTCACCTCTGTCAAGACAAATACAACATCAGATTTGGGATTTTGGGATGACACTTGTTGTGACCACTCTGGTTTCAACTAAGTGCCGTTTCAGCCTTGGCAGCCCTAGGGTTACCAAAGGTTTTCAAAATTGTCCTCATGCTAGATGAAGACCAAAGCTCTAGAAATTTCAGAGTTGTACATTTGGTTCTGTATCAAGTCACAGATTTGACATCTAGCTTACTCAATAATACATGTTTTACATGGAGCGACGTTATATATTTTTTTTGTTAAACCTTTTTACTTTGTATGGAAGATTTAAAAAACATAAATGTAAATGGTCTAAAAATATACCAAATATTCACCAGTTTAAAAATGAAATGAGGATGCATTTTAAAACACTAACTGGACTGGAATAAGAAAGCGATTCGAAGTATGACTTTCTATGAAGCCTTGAGGTCCTCTTTATGATCTGAACTGAATGTATGTTCCCAATGCCATAATATATATTAAAGTTTATGTATCTTTGTATGCCACACTATGATGTTTTTTTTTTGTTGTTGTTGTTGTTTTGGTTTTTTTTTTTTTGCAAAGTCTCAATTCCTCTCAAATGAATGTAGCTACCCCTTGTTCAATAATATGCATTTGTTATAGCTGAAGAACTGAAATAAAGAATTGGATAATAATAATAATAATAATAATAATAATAATAATAATAATAAATGTTTTGTTTTGTCCTCCATAACTAATACTCCTGCACAAACCAAGAATAAAGAGATATAACTTGATTTTGTTTGTGCAGCACTGATTGTTTAACTTAACTTGACGTCTGTTTGTTTATTTGAGAGTTTAAGTGATTGAGTAATACTGTGTCTCCTAGCATGAAATCGTCGTAACGCAAGAGTTAAAGGCAGCGTCATACCCTCCGTCTCCAGCCGTCCAATGAAAATCCAGCGTGATGGAGCGCGTGTATTGCTTGCGCGTGGGTGTCGAAGCGAAGACGCGTGAGCAGCGCGACCAGCTAGGATTCCGCTCGGCTAGAGGTAAGATTGCCAAATAGCGAGTGGATTGAAACACATTATTAAACGAGCAGTCGGGGGGACTCACAGTGATCCCCCTGACTCTGAAAACCAAACTGACAATCTGTTAGTGAACTGTCTTTGAGACACTTTGTCCACACTGTTGTTGCTTTTATAAACGCGCAAGCTAACAGGCTAGCTGATATTAGCTTGTCAGCAGGCTAATAGCTGTAACGTTAACATCAGCCTCACGGTCGATATAACTGTATAATGAAAAGGTTTAGCACTTCGTCGTTACCAGTTCATAAACAACCTTTATTGTAATTTCTGCTCGGATTGGCTCGGACAGGTTTCTAGTAAGCGTTAACCTTCGATCGAACTGTTGTTTGAAGCATTGTTCACAGCACGTTGGCTCGTAGTTTGTTGCTAACTTAGTAACCCGGTTAGCTGCTGTCATGATTTTGGCACCGCCCTTTCACAGGTGGTTATCAGCGCCTGTTTGTGATCCGACGTTAGCAGATAGACTGAGTTATTATCGATTTATCTGGAGCCCTCTCTGCTTTTCAGCGGCAGCGGTTGTCATTTTTATTAATGTAAATGGAAAAATGCTAACTTGGTTGTTAGCCTAGCCCAGCTGCCACTACTAGCATGTCAGTGCGTCATCGGTCCGCGCGTGCTCTGTAGTAGCGTGCTCTTGATCAGTGGAAGTTTACTGTGCTGGTCCGTGTGTCCCTCTGTTATTCTCACTGATGCTCATGACAGTCTGTGCCCCCTTTCAAATGATCCGACCTAAAACACTGTTGATTTTAAAATCACTATAAAACATTTGCTCATTTAATGAAATGCAGACCGGAATCCTCACCCTCACTCACTCCCCTGTTTCTGTTTTTGGTTGTTTTGGTTTTCATGTTATTCCAGTATAACAAAATGTCTGATACAACGTCATGTTTCTATTTTAGGAAGGAGTTGCCACTGAGTTATGGATGCTACTAAAGGTAAAGACGCAGGTATTTTGAAGCTTGCTTACTGTTGACATTTATACAACTTCTTTAGGTCGTTTTTTTCTATTAGAATACTACATATCCCCATGGTGTGTGCATGGAATATAAATACAGAGTAAGTGAAACCCATGAGGTGAGATGAATGCATTGCTGGTCTTTGTTGGTGTAACAGGTAAAGTGGATCAAGGGATGCAAAATCCAGGTGGGCAGATGGACAAACCTGTCGGCTACCACTTCATGGAAAGGTCAGTGCAAGATATATGACCTACTATGAGTTGTTTGAGGTACAAGCTTTAGGTATTATATCAAAGGGGTTATTGGTATAGCTCACATAATCTGTTTAAGTCATAGAAATTAGAATAACATATAAGAACAACAATAATAATAACTGCTTTTGGCTATTGTCCCATATTTTGTAGTCATTTTTTTTCAACTGTTGCTTTATATCAAAAGCCATAGCTTCAATATTGAGTTAGTTGCACTTGACAGCTAAACTGAAGAAAGTGGATCAACATCCAAATAACTAGAACACAATACCCAGTGAGGTTATGGTGATGAAGAATGCTGTTGATCAGAGGTTTTGTTTTCTGATCACAATGTGAAAATGTAGGATCTTGACTTTTTACGTGGTGGTTTTAGGTTGGCACTCACTTATTCATTAAAGATCCACAAATATATAATAAAGATAAAATACATTAAATGAAAATATCCAGTTAATGTTAAATACAACGAACTAATCTGTTGTTATGGGTTAAAACAGATAAATTGTAAGACTGATGACAACTTGTACAAATACTGAATTTTTCGCACTATAAGGCGCACTAAAAATCCTTTTGGCTTGTCGGAGCACTGTAGCTACCGTAGCCTCGCAGAGTTATTGAATGAGTGAAATAAATAATGCGCTTTATAATCCGGTGCACCTTATGTATGAAAATAGGCGCGAAAGGACGCGTTCATTGATGGTGCGTCTTATAGTGCGAAAAATACGGTAGTTAATACACTTTGCAACAAATGTTTTTTGTGCTGCAAAACATGTAACACATGATTGTGTTAGAATTGTTTCAAGGTTTGAAGAAAAGTTTGAAATTTGATGTTTACCATTGAAATTTAACATCCACATCATTTCTCATGTTTCTGTTCTCCCACAGCATGCTCCCTAAAGTAGTGAAAAGGCGAGTGCACGCCTTGAAAAGGCTACAAGTGCAGTGTGCCAACATAGAGGCTAAATTCTATGAAGAAGTCCATGAGCTAGAGAGGAAGTATGCTGCCCTCTATCAGCCACTGTTTGAGAAGGTACTGTATAATTTTGTGTAAAGTGTTTGAAAAGAGCGTTTCCCTTGTTTCTTGTGGCTGTCACCCCTAGTCTACTGCTTTTATGATGAAGCTAACAGCAAAGATAAGACAAAAAGAAGGCAGAAGAAAATATATATTACATGTTTTTAGGAATCACTTCCCTCTGCACTAATGGACGGCTTATTATGTCACTCTGGCCTGATCTGGGGTCAGCAGGGACACGTCGTTGGTGCTATATTGAAAACTGCTACAGCGAGTAGTCAACTGTTCTCTTGACAGTCACGGCTATTTCCAGAGCGAGTGACAAGAACTCAGCCATTCTTAGTCGCAGTGAAGACTGACAGCTGTAATCCTACTGCACCTGTCTGTGTGTATATATGTTAGTGTTTGTGTGTAAGTCTCTCTTAAACGGTGTTGAATTTAGTGATCTTGCTTAAATTAATTCAGCCTTTACAAACAAAAGCATGTTAATACACAAATATTTCACTCTATTATTCTCTATTTCTTTCTGTAAATCCTTAACTATGTTGTTGTTGTTGTCTGTGTAACAGAGAAGAGATATAGTCACAGGAACAGTGGAACCCACAGACGAAGAGTGTGAGTGGCACAGTGACAGAGAGGAAGAGGAGGAGCTAGCCGTAAGTACAGCTTTATGTATTTATTTTTGTCTTCGATCCTGTTTACTTGACAGAAATCTTTAAACAGCAGAGGAAAAGAACTTATTTTTACAACCACAAAGGTGTCTTTCTCACCAATGACACTTGCAGTCTCCCACAGAATAGTAGTTTAGAGTAGAGAGTTGAGAGACCTATTGAGTGCTTTCAGATTGAGCTAGTTTATTGATGAGACTAATCACAAGTTCTCAGGTCTTGGTAAAGTTACTTAAAAGTGATGTAGCAGGAAGTCTGTTAAATAAGTCAAAACTAGGAGTTTTTACATGGGGTTGAAGAGGTTATTACAGGGTTTCTATGCAAGTTTGGAAAGTATGGAAATAAATTTGATCAATTTTCAGGTCTTAAAAAGTGTGGAAAAATAATAATGTTTACAGACTATTACCAAAGTTCTAAAATACTGTTTTCTAAAATAGAAAAGTATGTATTTAAAAAAATTATTCTAAAAAGTAGGCTATGGAAAGTCTGACTGTGTAGGAACCCTGTTATTAGAATTGGCTGTAAAGAAGAGTTAACAGTACACTGATGCCTGTATTAAGGGCTGTTTAACAAAATGAATCCATCAGGAAAAAGACTGTTCATTTGCATTTATCAATTATTAATGCTCCTTACCTCTGCCATGGGGTCAGTGTAACACAAAGTAATAATCGCCACATGGACTGGAAGTATTGTTCACCATTTCAACTGAAAAAAAAAAAACACTTTAAATCGCTCTGTTACAAGAAAACAGGAGAGATTTCTAATTATTTAATGGGTACAATAAATAAATATACAGGATGCACAGTTCTGTTCTCATAAGTTGCTGAGCTCTTGACCAACATTTAGATCCACACTGAAGCTTTAGACAAAACAGTGTTTCCAGAAAAACAAAGTAAAAAAAGTACCCAGCTTTTCCCAGCATGTGTTATAGAAATGAGTACAAGACCAGGTGAGGAAATCGTATTTAAAGCCTCACTTCTCTTATGCCCAACAAACAGGAAAAAACGAAATTAGGGTTAACAGGCTAGTTTTTTTAACTTGACTGTATCTTAGTTCTTCACATAAACAAAATGTGTTTTGTCTTGATACCACTTACAGTTTTAGATAGCCCAACCACTTAACATGTTTTGGTCAAGTTTTGATAAGTGCTTTGGCCTCTGTTTATAGGAGGAGATAAAGGAAAAAGCTGTTATTGAGGATTCAAAGAAAGAGGAGGCCACACCACAGGAAGACGCCAAAGGCATCCCAGAGTTCTGGCTCACCATATTCAAGAGTGTGGACATGCTTAGTGACATGCTACAGGTACACTTGAGTGATTTCTTTCCCAATCTTTGAAACATTTCAGCATTGTGTATCTCTGACTGGGCTTTTGTGTATGAGCAGGAACATGATGAGCCAATCCTCAAGCACCTGAAAGATATACAAGTCAAGTTCTCTGAACCTGGACAGCCAATGGTGTGTAATATTGAACTGTATTACTCAATGTGCACTAGTCCATATACATGAACTACAGTGAAGCTTACAGATGAGTGTAATAATTGATCTCTTTTGGTCTGTCTTCAGAGTTTCACATTAGAGTTTCACTTTGAGCCCAATGGCTACTTCAACAATGCAGTTCTCACTAAAGTCTACAAGATGAAGTCAGAGCCTGACGCCTCAGACCCCTTTTCATTTGAGGGTCCAGAGATCATTGACTGTGAAGGGTGAGAACTCAAAAACACTATCTTTTTTGTTAAAATGCAGTTTTTTTCCTCATTTCAGGCTGAGGTTTAAGAACATAATAGAAGTTGTGTGGTTTGTAAAGCGTTCCTCTTCACTCTGTCTATAATAATCTCTCCTGATTTAGCATCCCACACATCAGCCTCCTCTTGGCACTTCTTCCAACGTTTACCTTTTTTTACGTGCTCGCTTTCCTCCACCACTCAGTTCTTTTTACATCTCCTGTCTCTAGCTGTCAGATAGACTGGCACAAAGGGAAGGATGTGACTGTCAAAACTATAAAGAAGAAGCAGAAGCATAAAGGCCGCGGCACAGTCCGCACTATTACCAAACAGGTCCCCAACGACTCGTTCTTCAACTTCTTTAATCCTGTCAAAGGTGAGAAGACACACACTCACCCACACTCTCACACACTGCACTTTAGAGGACCTATACGTACATATCTCACACCCACCTTTTTATTCATGGGTCCTTGTAAATGTGTCTATTTTAGATGATATTCATTGCTTTTGAAGCTGCGTACAGTTGCTGTTTATAGACTCTAAAACAATCCCTAAATCCCTGAAAGCTCAAACAAAATCTGCTTGTCTGTCAGCATGCCTGTGATCACCTGCAGGTGGGGTGGCAACATGTTGCATGCAGCTCATGTGTTTTCACTCTTTGTCCCTGCATTAAGTGAACTTCGACAGCAAGTGGCGCCAGACTCTCGCCAGATTGTGTGAAGGCTCTCCTGTGTGACTCAGATCGGCCAGCTTTTCTGTTCAGTGATTTTACGAGGCTGTACTCAGTGGAGCTTTAACCTCAGCTCCGGTTTACCATTATTTTCCAGTCTTTAAATTTAAGGAGACTTTGTGGCAGCTTACACTTGAATATCTTTCATAACCTTTGTCTACGATTTTAGATCAATCATTCACCATTCGGTTGGAAAACAAGACTTGTAGGAACGTAGATGTTCTGTATTTTTAGTAAACCACACAAGGACTTACGAAGTGTTAAGAGGGGAAAAAGTGTTGCTGAATGGAAAAGCTGTGTTTTTCACATAATAGATTTATGGAATAGCTTTAGGTTTGATTTATTTTTGTGCTTCATTTAAAGGTCTGTGCTCGATGAATTTTCATACAAGGACTTTATACAATCACAGAGGTTTACAAGAGACTGTTAGTCTGTTGTTTGAAATAGCAGCAATTCCTTTTATCAAATATCATTACGAGTGTATCACTCTCAAAGCACCAGTCATGAATCCGTAGACAGTGTTATTTCATGACTGTATCCTCTTTTCTGTGTAGTCAAGGAAACCGGCAGACATGCCTGGACTTATTCAGACTTTGACAAGCTGACCCGATCACCTATTGGCTGAGCGAATGTTTGTCTTACTGGTTCATCCACAGCTTCGGTATAAAAGGGGTGAATATAAATAGCTCACTCACTAGTGTGTTCAGGTGCGGAGCTCTCGGATTGTAATATGTATTGGTGAATAAGCCGTCTCTCATTGATCAAATGAACGCGCACTAAAGCAGATGTTACTCCTGACTAAGCAGCCTGAGTCTGTTAAGGAGAATTGAACCGGCTCTGGGGGGGAAATTGTGTCTTACCTTCTTATCTGCTGAAGGCGGCAAAACAATTTCACCACAACTTTTCATATCTATATCTGCCCTCAGAGGAAGTGCATTTTTTGTAATCATTGTATCTCCCCTATCAGGATATACAAGGAAGGAACCTATAAATGTTTTTCTTTCACGTCTTTTCATAAAAATGTCATTTATGACACACACCAATTGGAGTCCTTCATTACCTCCGCCAAGAGGTTATGTTTTCGGTAGCGTTGGTTTGTTTGTTTGTCTGTTACCAACTTTACGGAGAAAGTTAGACGGATTGACCTGAAATTTTCACCAGAGGTGCGTCTCAGCCCCAGGAGGATCCCATTACATTTTGGTGGTGATCCAGACAAAATTCTGGAAACTGTGATCCAGAACACACAAATACGAGGGTGTCGTTGGAATTTTCAATGCTGAAAGATAACCAATGGGCGGCACAGTGGTGTAGATGGGCGGCACAGTGGTGTAGATAGGCGGCACAGTGGTGTAGTGGTTAGCACTGTCGCCTCACAACCAGAAGGTCCTGGGTTTGAATCCTGGTCAGGGCATTTCTTGTTTTAGGAACATTATGAACAGTGAACATACCTGTTTAAACACAAATAAAAGTTCATAAAAGACACGTAACACTAAAAGTTTTGGTGTGAATCACAATATAAGGGGGGACATGAGCTGCTTGGTGGAAGTCTGCGCTCTCCGAGTGCTTTTCTAGTTTTTTGTGTGTGTGAGGTTTTTTTTTATTGCTCCAAATGGGCATGCTCACTGGCAGTGCTTTTAGAATAATAATGATAAAAAAAACTGCCCTGTAAATCTGTGCCTCTAATCCTGCTATAGTGTAACAGTGCAAAATTGGACTGCATATTCCAGTCATGAAGGACATGTTGTACTGTTCAGGCTGCCTTTCCCTTCACGTAGCATTGTTTCAAGAAGGAGAATTGCAGGATGATGTCACCTTTAGTCAGTTTTTTGTTCAGGGCGGCGGAGCACAACTGTTTGCTAACAGCCTGTCACTTCCTATGGATGATGTGACCTACTGTTTATGTCATGATGTCAGGACTATTGTTGTTCCCTTAAATGGGCTTTTAGATCCTGATTGAATCACAACTTAATACCTAAACTATGAAAGCTCTTATACAACAAATATTCCTCTGTCACTATTAATAACAGGTTGTATGTGCCTCCAATAATCTCATTTTTCAAGTGTAATCACAACATTATTTGCCTTGTACAGTCTCTGTGAAACACTTGAGGTGATTCGCGCCTAACTGTTACATATGCTTTTTTTCTTTGCAGTATCCCCAGATGGAGAAATGGTGTGTAAAATATCAACTTTTTCTTCATGAAATCACCTATTTTATTGCATATCTTTTCACCTCCAATGTTAAAAGTGCATCTTCATGCTCTGGTTCATAGGACGAAGACTCAGAGTTCACTCTAGCCACAGACTTTGAGATTGGTCATTTCTTCCGTGAGAGAATAGTTCCCCGAGCGGTGCTGTACTTCACTGGAGAGGCCCTGGAGGATGACGAGAGCGTGAGTCTTTTTTCCTGTTAAACTGGTACACACGCATAATTACGCCAAGCAGCAAAAAACCACAGTATGCGATGTTTGCAGGCTGGATAGGGATACAAGTTGACCCCACTGTTGTACCACTTTAAATGACACTCTCACCCTTTTCTTTGAAATGTTAGTTTGAAGAGGAGGAGCTGGAAGAGGGAGATGAAGAGGTTTGTAAAACTTTTTCACTTACAAACATCTGTAATGACTGTTCTGCACCACTATCATTGCAAAACCATTCACTTATCACAGTCTGGTATGGTATGGTATGGTCTTTATTGTCATTGCAACTGTGCACAACGAAATTGCATTTACAGATGGGGAAAGTACACACAAGAGGGAGTATTTTGTGAAAACATGGGCTCTTTGAATACTGTGTGACTATCTTGTCTCTGTGTCACAGGAGCAAGATGAAGAGGGTGATGATGATGATGACGAGGGAGACTTTGATCCCAAGGTCAGTCAGGATTATCCGGTGGTTTCTGATGTTATTGTAAATGCTGATTTTGCTCATGATGTGTTTTGCATTATTCTTGACTCATCACGTGCTTTAATTTTGTTGAGCCGTTTGAAGTGATGCAGTGCTTGATAACAATGTTAGTAATGCATACTAGGAACCTTTTAGATGCCATAGATGATCACAGTTGCAAGATTTATTTATTTTGATATGAAAGTGCCTAAAAGCCTTTTAAAAATGTAGACATATCAATAACACATTTGGTAGGAACTCCAAAGAAATCCTCAGACTTGATCACAAACCAGACCAAAACCAAAAAACAGAGTGTTAGAAATAAGATGTTTCCTGTATTAGTGGCTTTAAAACAGCCACCATGAGATCCACCTTTATATCTTAGAGGTGCATTCACAGTATGGAAATTAATTCTCTACTTCTTTTGTAATTTAGCATGGCAAAATAATTTTTTGTTGATCCATGTATAGAAATCTTGGGTATAGATTACAGCTCAGACGAAGGAAACATCAAAAGTATAGAAAGGAACAAATGCAGTAAAAGCAGTGTGCACATACAGTTTTTGGAGTAAATATAAGTTAACTTAATTTTAAAGTAATATTGCTCCGAATACGTTTTTAAAGAACACTCATAAAGGAAAACGACCCCAATTCTTAAACTCACAGTTTTCTGACTGTTTTCTGTTACTCATATTAGCAGCTACTTCAAAACTGGGTGTCAGTGTAGCCGTGCGCTCTGTTGAAGAAGTTGTATCTCAGGTAATTTTTCCTGTATCAGGTCATTGACACCTTTGCTAATTGGATTATTAAATCACAACATCCCAGTAAAGGATCTGAACAGTAGAGGAGGCTCCATAGATGTCTGCTGAATGTTCCCTCCCTCCCTTTAACTACATTGTTAATGTTTGTATGAGCAGACCTGACCAAGCATGGCTCTAATTTTTGATTTAACTGTTATGGATGAAGAAGACTTACTGTCAACATGGTTCAGGGATGGTTGTGAGAACCCGTCCACAGCGGTTAAAGTTTTATCTAAATACTTTGAGAGGTGGTCATCTGTAAATATCTGCCATTTTTTTTCTCTTTTAAGTTTATTCTTGCTATTCTTCATCAGAGAGGCAAGAAGGTTCATTATTGTATCTTCAATTTCCAGCACCAGCTTAGAATCAGAATTTCCTGTATACCATAAAGTTTTCTCTCTTTTTTCACTCTCTTGCACTCTCTCTCTCCTAAACCACCAGTTACAAATTATTATCTAATGACAATATGTGAAAGGGCAATTCCTCTGGGGTTTAATTGTGCTGACTGTGCTCCACAATGAGATATTCCAGTCTGAAGGTGATTAAGTGCATACCCTGGCCAGTTTGCAGCTTCTTCAGTAGTGAGCAACAGTGACGCTTTGTCTGTGAATGAGTTACTTAAGCAGCCAAGTGTTCCACTGCAGGGACCTGCAATGAGCTCATCACTTATTCAGTGTGTGCATTCATCAACCTCAGCAGTGTCTCACTTTGCTTATTATGTCATTTCTGAATGTGATGATTAAACTTGCGCATGTTGTTGTCTCTCCCTCCCCTGGATTCCCCTTCATTACAGGCATAATCAGTCATTCTCACCCATGCATTTCTAGGTAAGGGAGAAGTGAGGATGGCATCTCTCATAAATTATTCACTGTTGCAGTAGGCTTTCATTTATGATTCTGGCTGCCTCTCTCTCCAACACATCCTTGGCTCTGCCATAGTCTTAAGATTTTAAGACTCTTAACTCACATTATGGGTAGATACTCCCCTTTCTCATTGACCCTTTACTCCATCCATCGTTTTTCCTCCTATTGTCACATCCCAGGTTTCTAACATTTTCCCCTTTGCTGTTACAAACCAGTGTCAAGAGGTAGCTCTCTTTCTCTAGTCTGCGCCTGCTCTCTTTGCCTTTTTCTGGTCAGCTTCATTATCCCGTGTGCCCTCCTGTTTGTAAACTGGTGTCTCTCCTCCTACAGAAAGAACAGCCCCAGCCTGCCGAATGCAAACAGCAGTAACCGCGGTGAACAGAAGAGATGGAGACCTGCTGTTCGTCAAATCAGTTCTTAGCCAATCAGCAAGTCCTCCTCCTCTTGCAGGCTCCCCCGTTTTATGAACTCTCATCTGAACGCAATAGAACGCAAACCAAACTGCGTTTTTACTATGTGCATGACTCCTTTTTCTTTTGTCTTGCGCCCATCTCACCCCTTTTTATTTGGCTTCATTCAAACTCAAAGCAGGAAGTGACTTGACTGGGATTAAAATACCATGGCATCACATAGGGAAGGTGGAGCGGGTTATGACTGCCAAGAAACTCAGAACATCATTGTTTGAAAAAAGATAGGAAAGGAATGGATCCCAACTTTAGTTTTCATGGAGATAAATCAGTTACTCAGGGTTTTTTAATGCCAACAAGCGACATGTACGTTAACCAGGAAACTGCTGAACAAGTTTGACTTAATCTTTCACTGGGGTTGCTGCAGTGTTTCTCTTTTATTAAGGTGTTTTTTTTTAAGACATACAATGTTTTGTTCTGAATATAATTTACTTTTTTTTATGTTCATTGTCATGTCATTAGGCTATTTATTCTGGTGTCATGCAGCTGTATGAAGTGGTGTGTTTTGGGAGCTCATGAGGTCCAGCCATAGTAATAGGCTCAGCCTCATTGGCCCAAATCCTCCTCGGGGCTTAGCAGGTCAACAAAACGTGAATACTGCCAAGTCGTGTTTTCTGTAACTTTGATTATCAAAGTGAAATCCAAACATTAAGGAATTATGCTCTGCATTCAAACTGAAGAATTCTGCACAACTTTATCAGGCTGAACAAGCATTTAAACTGAGCACTTGAATGGACACGACTGTGTGATTGACATGTGACAAATCTGTCATATACATAGATTTATGCCAAGTTTGCCCTATCAGCCCTGTAACATATGAACTTCTATGACAAAAAGAACAAATAACCAAACTTCAGGTTTAAAAATAATCTTTTCAAAATGACATTTCAGCCCCCCCAAGATTCACCCTCAATCTTCTTCTTTGGTTGTTCAAAAGACCACCAGTATGTATGTATGTAGTTCTTAACAAATGTCATTTAAAGTCTGTAATGGGACAGTGTGCAGGAAGTTTGAAATACATGTAAATTGCCAACAAGCCAAAACGAACGATTAAACAAACCGTCCTCTTTTATGAAATTGTTTGCCAATTGTCATTAACACAATGTAATCTTATTCAGCGTTCAGAGTTGTTAAGGAATATATAAGTATTTCTGTTCTTGTATAATGATTCAGTAGAATGTCTGTGGGAATAAAAAGAAGAGGTTGCCAATGTATTTTATATACTGCACTTGGATTTTGGTCGTGTGGTGACTGGTCAGCGACAGCAGTTAACGGTGAAAATAAATACCTATCCCTTCTCTCTTTCTAACAGAACGATTGTAAATCTTGACGGATCTCTCAGAGCCACGGTTGACATCTTCAGATCTACTATATAAGACCGTGTGCTAGCAATGGCCTTAACTGGTTCTTATTCACAATTTGTTACTTGCGCAATATTTCTTTTCAATTTGTACAGAGTTAGTAAAAATATTCTATTAAAGTTGTGCGACATGGAAGTTTGTGTGGCCTTTCTTTTGAAATACATGTGCAATATGTGGAATCATTCATAGATAGACCTTTTTCACGTTGGACATCCTTAAATGTCAGAGAGCAGTCAGTTCAAAGAATTAAGTCTGTGGTATTCATGGGACCCTGTCCGTGTGTGACAATAGCTGCGTTTACATGGGCACAAATAATCGGGATAAATGCCGATCGGAATAAAAATGCGTTGTGTGAACATGTCGATCGGAAAATACTGATCCAATTTGGCACAATCGGAAAGAAAATGTATTCCGATCGAGAGAGGTGGTTTATGCCGATTGTTATTCCGAAACTGCTCCTCCGATAACATAACAAGCCGTACGTACAGCGTAATGATGTCACATCTGCACGCACAGTGCAACCTTTGACAGAACAGTGAAATAAGTAAGCAAGAGCGCCATGTCACTCCTGAATTTGATAAAGTGAGCCACTATCGCATTTGTTGTTTTTTGACAGCACAGGCGTTCATACAACTCATCCTCTGCGGTTGTTTAGCGAAATCAGAAAACTGCGCATGTCCAAGTGCTTCTAATCTGAATAAAGCTTGGTGCGTGTATGCACACGTCATGATCAAATTATTTGATTTTGCACCCATATAAACAGTGGATTCAGATTATCCGATCCCTCTAATTTTTAATCAGATCAAGAAATTTTGCCCATGTAAACGTGGCTAATGAGCTTAAATGCATAAGCTTAGGACCCTTCCACTGACTCCCCAAATTAAATTAAACAAATCATTTTATTGTCAGGTGCTTCTGTTCTGACAAGTCAACATCAACATTTGGCTTATACAGGCCTTCAAGCAGACAGCAAACTCAAAGCATTTGGTTCACTGTGTGCCTGACTTTTCTTGCTATCATCCTGATAACTGTTGAGAGCACTCTGACTAAACACACTGAGCAGCCAGCTGCACACATGGACCTCATCATGCAGCATCAGGTGATATGCAAATGGTTAGCAGGAGCTTAGAGCCAAGCATGCAGTCGCAGCCTTAGCCTGCAGTGACTGATCCTTTCCTTCCTCTCCTGTACCATGGTGACTTTGTACCAGCCTGGTGATTTCCAGGCTGCAGGAATTTGCACACAGCCAGCCAAACATCAGGCGAGTCCACCAGAATGTTCGGAATTCCGTCTCACAGATAGAGAAAGCATGCACGCTCCTCTGAGAGACCCTTGTAATGCATTGTTGGAGATAATGTCTGAGTGGTCTGAACTTTCTGAAGGAGGTTGGATGCTCTGTGTCCTAGCACCCGAGGTTTTTCTACTGAACGCTGAAAGACAAGAGATTTCCTATCCTGTCACTTCATCCAGCAACACTTTCAGCTGTGTGTGTCTGTCCTCTTGGAAACAAGAGCTGACAACCTGTGACAGTGAAGAAACAGGAGTCTGGACTAGACCAGGTTCAAGGGCCGGGTCACCCTTGAGACTCAACCTCTTAATATTTTTCCGCTGGTTATAAAATGTATGAAGTGTTATTTTGAAAAATGAAAAACTACTGCACCAGTGTACAATGGACAACTAATAAAAAAGTTATGTCTCCAACTTTCTGGCTTTCACTCTGCAGACTTGGAAACAACACTCTTCATTCATGCTAAGCTGCTGAGTGGGGGTTTAAGGATTGCTGCTTAGTAACAAGGCAGCTGATTGTGTTTCACAGACATTTCTGAGCATTCTGTAACAAGACTAGGAAATGCTGCTGCACTAAGCTGCTGAAACTTGTTGTCTTTTTACCTTTCATAGACTTGATCTGAATACATTTCATAATTACAATATTTTTAAATAAAAGTCGTAACTTGAAACTGATCTTTTTTTTCACCATACTCAAACATTTTGAGTACATCAGCTGCCAGGACTAAGAATTACAGTTGAATTATATATTATATATATATTCATATAAAGGAAATAATATTATTTCAGTGATGGGTTTTTACTTCCTGTAGGTATGCTGAATCAGCTCTTGTCTGTTTTATTTAAAATCTGTTTTAGATGACATATATAACCCCAGGTGTGGGAGCAGTCACACCTGGCACTGCTGGGGCATGAGCTCCAGAGAAGAAGAGAGACCTTTGAAATGAAGTTGGCTGTCATGAGGTATATGTTAAGTAAAATCATTAGGTTGTGCTAACACATGAGTGAAAAGAAAATAAGACAGACAGCTACATTAACACTCACTCCTCTGTGCTCCCTTTAAGATCCTCTCCACTCTGCTAATCAACTATGTGAAGGTTATTCAGGCAGCTTTATGGACACTCATTGTTTAACATTTAACAGCTAACAGAGAAGTATTCAGACAGCTTGATTAATCCCTCTTCGACCATCATCACATCCTTATCCAGCAGACGTGTGAAGGTGTACTCTTCATGCAGCTGCACCCACTGTCTCACTCTTGGCCTCAAGGTGCTGTTGGCACAAACTCTCCGTCTACGTGAGCCCACATGAGTGTATATGAATGAGTTTGTCTGTGTGGGGTCTTTTGTATCAACGCCTCCTGGTCGGAAGTGATACGAGCCAAATCGAGCTTAAGCAAAAGAGAGGATAAAGAGGCTCTTTATGTGTCTGATGCCAGTTTGTGTGCAAGACCAAATGAGTTAAACTAGTACAAGATAAAGAGCCATTCCCTCTATAAACCTGATAATGTTACTGATGCCTTTAACACACAGGCGTACAGTTTTGTACACATTTGGACTTAAGGCTTAAGTTGATATTTCTTGTTTTACTTTTTTTTTAAAACCACATTGGCAGTACTGCTCTATCAATGGTTTGTCAGCCAGTCTGTATTACTTTGGTTGACTCTCAAAAACATAATAAGTTGCATCCAAAATTTGTCCAAGCAGTCATTGCCCTCGAAGGATAGACTAAGTATCTTGGGTGTTGCCTAAACTTCTTCCTGTGCAGTCATCATTTGCTTGGCGTTTGTGATTTTAAGCAAAAGGTCTTCACTACCTGTGAAAATGGTTCAAATATTTTGTACAAACAGTCAAATCACCCTTATGATCAACTGTCATGAGTTTCTGTTGTTTTCACCTTTTAAATCAGAGCCAAGTAAATGCCAAGGTCAGGTTAGATTTCATTTAACATAATGTTTTGGCACATGAACAAATATCAGCAACAACATTTCCTCGAACCTGTCCTTTTCTCTGTGAGACACTTCGCAAATACCAGAATCTGAGTACACTAATGCAGGACAGAGAAAACAAGCAGTGTATTCCAGTTGTGAGCGTGATAGTACTCAGGCAAAAGCACCACTTAACTGTGTACTGCTTACAGCGCAGTAAAAGATAATTGGTCTTCTTTAGAGGACATTACACTCATTTTGTTGATTTGTGTTGAAATGCCTAAAAAAAAAATAATAATAATACATAAATACATAGATAAAATATAATTCCAAGAACAAAAGCAACAGTTGTGACTTCAGGCTTATGCTAACAACTGACCCTGGATTGAAAGAGTCCACCACTTGCTGAAAAACCCTTATGCTATCTATCTATCTATCTATCTATCTATCTATCTATCTATCTATCTATCTATCTATCTATCTATCTATCTATCTATCTATCTATCTATCTATCTATCTATCTATCTACATACTGTTAAAATACACATAGATACACATATTTAGATCTAGGTATATAGATCTTAATATGTGGATTAAGAAGATTTAGATATGGATATAGAGATATAGCTAGAGAAATCAATGGATAGAGAAATGCATAAAAATATAGATTTATAGATATAGATAAATAGATGATATAGAAGTCGATAGATAAACAGAGAGAAAGATAGAAGCCGAGGGAATCTGCAGATCAGTGGTGTATATTTATACATTCATTGTATTCTGTATTTTAATTGTAGTAACTACAATGCATAAATTAAAATTGAAAAATTCAATCATAAGTTTCCTTAAGAAAAACACATTTCCATCATTTTCATTTCTCAGCCGTGTCGGTCATTCTGGGTGGGCCTGTTGACATCCAGACTGGGAGTGAAGGCAGTCAATGGGAGTTGAAAACAAACTTTGTAGTGGGTTATGATTAGAAAAAAAAATAAAAAATCAGACATAGGTTAAAAAAAGCTGTTGTAAGTGTCATTTGAGTTTACATAATCTTCTAAATATAATGACCTCGAGTTTTCACAATAAACAGCCTCACTACAATGACTTGTCATCCAGACAAAGTTCATTTGTTAGTCCTTGTGTGCTTAACATAAATCACTGTAAACAATGCTCACTGTAACAGAGTTAATCTTATTTGCTTTACAGTACTATCAGCAGCTATTTTGCCCTACCTGCCTGGCATGCATGGGAGAGCTCACAGGCGAGCACACCTTTGTCTGGATTTATGAATGAATCTGTGAATGAGCAGGGACCTGGGTGCGGCATGTTTAAACTGAATCACACTGCTCAGCCTGTGAGCACATACTAAATAGATCCGTCTGTCAGACCTGATCCACATGAACAGGAGCGAGGTTATATAAAAGGGGTGAGGACCAATTCAGAGGCAAGGCCGCTTTGAATATATGTAAATGTTAGATAATGTGTCATGCTCGGGTTTGTTTCAAGGTAGATCTGGAGAGGCTTGAGAGGATTTATCCAGATAAGTTTAGTATTTATATATTGCACAACAATAATACAAAAAGGCCATGGAAGAAAAAATGAACTGAACTTCCTCTTTAAAAGAGTTTGGCTGGTTGATAATCTCCAGTCTGATATAGTTGAATCACGACTGCAGGAGAGAGACAATTTCCTGACTCATTCATCATCTCCTTCACCTGCCTTTCTTTGCTCAATGTGAATTATTGGACACTGCTCTAAGAGAAGTTCACATTGTTTCTGTGCATTATAATAGACAAGCTACAGCAAACATTTTAGTCACAGGGTCACAGGAAAGCACAGGCTAAAAAGATTTTAAACCATCAAGCTTAAAAAGCCAGCCCATGACCCCGCTCCCCTCACAGATTAGTCCCAGTTCTCTTGAAAG